AAAAAAAAAAAAAAAAAAAAAAACATAGCTAAACCTCGACAAGTGGGGCATGGGCCCGGGTATCCCACGGGTTTGGGGTGAGGACTGTGGGTGTATCCCATTGTACTGGCATGCTGACTGTGATAACTGCTGGTATCGCATTGCTCTGGCGTTGAGGCCTGCCGGTATCCCATTGTTCTGGCATGTGGACTGTCGGTATCCCATCGGTAAGCCCAGCTGTAGCAGACTGAGATGATACTGAGTCACACAGGGATAGAGGCATCCATACTGAAACAGGACGGCAAGGAGGGAGATGACATGAGATGTTGTGGTGGGCCCCTCGCACCGCCTCCCTATGCTCTTAACTAGTAGAGTTGTTTTTTAAATTTTTTTCATTCGAATGCTAATCCCACATAAGAATATCTTTTTTTTTTTTTTTTTCATTCAGATGCTAATCCCTTAGGGTGAGACGGCCTATTCTTCCCACTACTGCACCTCACCCTCCTCAACTCGTTTTAGTATTATGTTTTTCCCGCTCTGCACAATGCCTGCCCGTAGATGTTAACAGTTCACGTTTTTTTTCTGTATTAGACTATGTCTATCACAAACACCTCACGCACGGATGGGTTGGTGCTCGTAGTGCTCAATGCTACTGCTACTGATGCTATTCTTTTCTGTTTTTTTTTTTTTTCCCCCAAGGGTGGCAGTCTTGAGGTATATCCACAGGCGACCGACCCCAGGTAGTACGAGATGATTATTGAAGTAACTTTTGTAGGGTTTATGTCATGATTATTTGTTATCGAGCTTCTGTTAAGACAGGTAAGTTTAGATTTTTAAGCCTCTTTAAGCATCATGAAATTGAGGGTTTCAAATCTGATAGGTATGTGCTATTCGAGCTGTGAATGTCAGCTATTCTCATTCTGACTGAGAATTGATCCCGATACTTCTTTTACTGGGCGTGTCCTGACTGGCTGCAGCAGGACCTGAGCTCAGGGGCACTACTCGCCCCAGCGAGCTCCCAGTGCTAATTGCCCCTCCGCCATTCTCCTCAGGACACTTGAAAGTGACCGCAACGGGATTAGAACCCAGCCCCTACGCGGTGCTGCTCAGGTATGAACCTAATGAGCTAGGTAGCCGACGGGATAAAGCATATGCTATGTTTTGAGCCTGGCCAACCAAACATAAGTAGAGGGCTGCTCAGGTATGAACCTAATGAGCTAGGTAGCCGACGGTATAAAGCATATGCTATGTTTTGAGACTGGCCAACCAAACATAAGTAGAGGGCTTGCCACAACCTTTGGGGTTCCACAGGCGGCCGCCCGCCCTCCGAACCAGATTACTGTACGTTCAGCGCCGGTATTCATCTATAAAATGAATCTGCAGTACCTGTCGCTCAAAATGTTGCACCTCACCCGGTGCTCCACCGAACAATGGTTCCCCGTGGACCTTTCCCGAAATTTGTACCCCTTTGCACGACTGTGCAATTGTTTTGGCCTGGCAGGAGCAACGATGCAGCCCTAAGAGCTCTAATTTTTTCATTTTTGTGTGGGGTGTGTGTGTGTGTGTGTGTGTGTGTGTGTGTGTGAGAGAGAGAGAGAGAGAGAGAGAGAGAGAGAGAGAGAGAGAGAGAGAGAAATGCAGTGGGGGTTGGCCTCCAACCCTTCACAACAGGCAGAGCCTCACCTCGCAATCACGAGACCGAAAAAGAACGAATGTGTTCTAAATAACAAACGGCACACTGAAGAAAAAAAACTACTAAAAAAATCCTCTGTACAAATTTCTGGCTTGGCTGTGGAAAGATGAGGCAGGAGTCTGCATGGTGTTTTATACCACTCTTGTCCCCGGACGTGATTTTGATTGTGCGGTTCCTGTATTCTGAGCCTGGCCCACTGGGCCAAAACAATGGATGCATTTCCATTTTTTGTTTTTTTTTGGAGTCCCCCCCTCTCTTTTTTTTAGTTAAAAAAAAAGCCCAGGTTGTTGTAGAGGCTACCCACCAGGCACTTGGGCCCAAGGCAGAACACAAACGAAATGTGAAAGTATAGTTGCAATTCAGAGGGTGTGGCCTCACCTCTGTATGATGAGACCCAAAAAGAGCTAATGTATTCCAAGCAACCAACTGCACACTGAAGAAAAGACGACTACAAAATCCCTCTGTACGAACTTGTGGCTCCACAAAGGCACGCAAGTGGCATTCAGGACGTCTTAGATTCAGTCCCCATTGGCCTCGTGTACCTTCCTGGGCAAGCTTGCCTCCCGCCACCTAGAGATAGGCTGTTGGCCCCCCCGAGTGGCATTGAGCAGAGACTGCTGATGTTCAGAGGGCGAGGGGACCAGAGGGGATGCACTGCGACTGGCCCATCGAAGACGCTCGTTCCTGATGCTACCGGCTGACCCCTGGCTGGTATCGGCCACCTGTGCTGGTGGGTGCAGCTCCCGCACGCTCCCTCGTTGGAGGCTAGAGCACAGATGTGGCCGCTACGGGGTTCTCCGTTTATACTATGGCCTGTCAAATACCTGTCGTGGACAGGACGGCCTTTCAGGCCTTTTTCATTGTCATTATAGTATTACAGGGAACCCCGTAGCAGCCACATCCATGCACAAGCCTCCAACGAAGGAACTTGTGGGAGCTGCACCCACCAGCACAGGTGGGCGATACCTGCTACAGCAGGTGGGTGCTACTGGCGAGGGGTCAGACGGTAGCATTAGGACCTACAGTAGCTTCTTCGATGGGCCAGTCAACAGTCCCTCCCCTCCGGTGGTGGTCTCCCCCCCCCCCCCCCCCCAATGAGTCTCTCTCTCTCTCTTTTTTTGAAGCGGGAGGCTCTTGAGGTATCATCATCAAACGATCTGCCCCCGGTAACTTGAGAGTTATCTGATTCAATCACGATTTTAACTCAGGTCTGTTTATCTAACAGTTGAAGGGTTCACCATTTTTTACTTTTCCGATGCAATCATTTTTTAATTTTTTTTTTGGTTAAGCAAGCTAACATTCGTCTCTCAGTTTCGCCTCACGCTACCTACTCCTAATTATAGTCATACGGGGAACCCTGGAGCAGCCAGAACCATGTTCAAGAGAGAACATGTGGGGGCAGCTCCCGGCGTGCAGGTGGCCGATACCGACCAGGGGACACCCGGTAGCATCAGGGACCATCCATGCCAACAGGACCAATCCCTGTGCCTCCCCTTCGGTGGTGGTTCCCCCCCCACGAACATCAGCAGACTCTGCTCGATGCCGATCGGGGGATCCAGTTGTCTATCTCTTGGTGGCAGGCGCCAACCATACCCAGGAAGGTACATGAGGCGAATGGGGATTGAACCCACTACCTCCTGCATTCCACTTGCAAACCTTATACCAACCGAGCTAGGCCGCTTGATATTCAATCTTCAATCTTCAATCTTCAATCTTCAAGTGTTTAGATAAACAAGACTGGAGTTCAATCACGATTTGATTGATCTCAGATCTGTTTATATCTAACAGTTGAAGGGTTCACCATTTAGCCAAATTAGCCGCATCGGGCACTGGGGCCATTTGAAAAAAGAAAAAAGCAAAAAAAAAAAGCCACATCTGCAGATTGCCCAAAGTTTCATGAAGGGATCGTGTGTTTATTGGATTGCTAACGTTGTTTGGGGCCATTTGAAAAAATGAAAAAAAAAAAAAAGCCACATCTGCAGATTGCCCAGAGTTTCATGAAGGGATCATGTGTTTATTGGATTGCTAAAGTTATTTGATGCACGATACGCGTTGTACCCTCTTCCCCCGAACATAATGCATCCTCATGACGACGGTATCGGACCTGAAAGATGGCTCCTAGCAGATGTGCGTTCCTGAGGTGGAAAACTATGCACTTCTTTGGCCGCGCTCCACTACTCGCTACACGCACAGAAGACAAGAAATAGGGCGGTGTATCTTGCCATCGATCGTTCCCGCACCGTTCTAGTGCGAGAGTCATTCACATTTTTTGGCACGCTGGTTGAGTAGTGGAGCGAGGCCGTTTTTCTTCCAGTCCCATATCTGTGCCGATGCCAGCAGTAGTTGGTTACTGAATATTCATCCACGTGTCCACATCGGACGGCAGGCGTGTATTTCAAGGTCGTGCGTTGATCTCCAAGATGCCATCACAGAGTTTTGCTGTTATAAATCAGCTCTGCATGGGGATTTGCATAGCTGTCATCTGTTTCGTTTTGTCCTTCTTTTCTTTTTTCTTTTTTTGAATCAGCCGCCGCTCGGGGGAGTGCTATTGGGGGTGATGTGAGCAGCCTCCAATAGTAGCCCAGGGGGGAAGGCTCCAGTCCATTGGTCCATTGGTGGGGAGCAGCAGCCGCTGGAAAAAGGGTCCAGCATCGCACATCAGAATTTGGATTGAGTTCAAACGAGTACAAGAACAAGAAGAGAAAGAAAACTTGGAAAAGTAAGAAAAGACTGCAGCATGGGGGTTGCCTCTTCAGACTGTCTTCCGCTGCAGCCGCCAGGACCTCCATAAAGCTATAGCAAGTTATTAGCAACTGCAGCCGAGTATGGTGGAGATGGTTCAACCTGCATCTCTGGATTGTTGTACCCGCCCCCCCACACCTCCATCCTGCCCCTGTCGCCCCCCCGCTTCCCCCCCTTCAAAAAAGGGTAAATGAAATGGAAAGAAAGTGAAAGAGGTATGCTTGCATTGTTTCTATTACCTAATTACCTGATCACCTAATCATCATGTGGTTGGGCCTGTCCTGTATGTCTGCATGTCTCAACAGCAGGAGCAGGAGCAGCAGCAGCAGCAAATGGAACACGCGTGCGCCTGATGGCAACGTGATGAATCTTGTATTTTTGAAAGTTAGCTAAGTAAGGTCCATGATGGAAAGAAGAGCAGATTAATTCGGCTGGGTACGTGCTTGTATTCTGAACTCGAATGGAAGATCCCCTTTGCGCCCCCGCCATTTCCGCTTGACGTATAAGTGACCACCGGCTCAGGCGCTCTGTTTAGTTGTGCAGGTCTTTGTTTTCCCAAGTGCTTTTGGTACCATGCATTTGGGTCCTTTTCCCTGTTCCTGTCGTTGATCCAGTACTTAGTGCCACGAGGAGGAGGAGAAGGAGGAGGAGGAGGAGGAGGAGGAGGAGGCATGTTAGCAAAGCATTTTGCTGGCTAGGGGGAGGAGGAAGGAAAGATGGATGTCTGCTCTATGAGAACGTATAGCAACTTCACTGCGGCACCACCTCATCACCGTTGATTATCCGAAGTAGATACATGCATACGGGTCAAGCCGACAGGTCCTGGTTGGTAGGAAGGAGCTCCTGTTATTCCTGCTGCAGATGGGTTGACCTCAATCACAGGGACCGTTATGTTCCCTACCGGCGGTCGCCGGTCGGTGAGTTGTTCTTTCTATTCTGTAATGGGGTGGCCGGTCTCGAGGAAGTTGGTGCATTGTGCGGGGCGTGGCCGGTCTCGAGGAAGTCGGTGCATCGTGCGTGGCAGGTCTCGAGGAAGTCGGTGCATCGTGCTTTCAATTGACAGGTTGTGAGGGAGTAGTGTGGTGGAACCCGGTGATCAGAGAGAGGGGAGGGGAGGATATCACAGAGCAATGATGTTGTGCAGGTTTGTTTGTCCAGCTGGAAGACAGAGAGGTAGGTAAATGAAGGATGGAGATGGATTTGCGGGTCGAAATCCCGCGTTCATGAGTGGAAAGTCTTCGTCGTAAATACATGTGAATGCATAGATAGCTGTAGCGTTTTGAAAATGCGTAACGTAGTCGACGAGGGTCTAATTGTTTTCAAGGATTCAAGCGGCTGATGAGGAAGCCTGCGCTCGTGGTGCCCAACAGTATGTGACAACGACTGCTCCTTTGTATGATATCTCAATGAATTATGACTGTGGACTCGGTGTGGAGGTGTATGTGTAAGTTCTGAGACTGGATTGGTTCTTGCCGACTCTGCTCCCCATGCTTTTTTTTTTCTTCTTCTTCGTCTTCTTCTTCTTCTTGTTTTCATTGAAGGCATGCCCACATAATATGGCTGCATCCTATTCTATCTGTAATTGCCTGGTGTCCTGTTGTCTCTCTGCATATCTCTGTGGATATAGATCTGATGCTTTTGTTCTGCTTTGTCACTGTCTATATTAGTTCGATATAGATCTGTCTATATCTCTGTGGATATAGATCTGTCCATATATCTGTCGATATATATTTGATGGCACACCAAATGACGTAGGGAGCATTAGTTCCCTGCTTTTGCCATTCAGTCATAATTGCTCTTCTCGTGGAGACCCTCCTCGCAATTCTTAACTCAACCCCTACCGAACTTCTTCCAGGATACCTGTTTAATGAAGGGAATGTGTCTGATGTAGATCGCAATTCTTAACTCAACCCCTACCCAACTTCTTCCAGGATACCTGTTTAATGAAGGGAATGTGAGGGAATGTGTGTGATGTAGGGCTCGGTGGCGGTATTGGTTTCCCTTGCATGGAGTTTTAGCGGAGATGAAACTGGTTGGCAGAGTTCGCAGCCTGTCTCTTATACACATCTAGATGTGTATAAGAGACAGGCCCAGACCCGAAACAAAAACGCCGAACGGGAAA